AAAAAGTTCCATATTGATGATATGTGGTTGCACTAAAGCTGCAAAAATGATTAAATTTATCATGAGTTATGAACTGTTAAAGTAGTCTGTAATCAGTTTGAGTGATTTTTAAAAATCAAAATCGTCTGATTCTTCAGATTCACATTTGTTTTATTGTCATTGTAACAAGAACAACGAAACGTAAGGTGCAGTCCTTTCACTGCAAAAATATAAATATAAGAACTTGTAGAACAATAAAAACTTTGTAAACACCTTGCTTCTTAAATGTAAATATTTTGTTATTTTTTAAACTCTGTTGCAGTAAACTGAATATCTTTGGGTTGCACGTGAAGTGACATGTTTTAGGACGTAATCCTGGGAAACACTAACCATCATTTTGCACCTCGTAGGCCAAACAACTAATCGATTAATTGCGAAAATAGTCAAATCGACAATGAGAATAATCACCAGTTGCAGCTCTAGTTTGCACGCCCATCCTCATATCTGGAGGAGGGATTCCTTTTCTGTTGTTTCTCCTTATATTTCTCCCTTTCTCCTTATTAAATACATTTTTTTTTTACAAGCTTCATCACCAAATAGAGCATCTAAGGACTAAGAGTGTCGCTCCTTACGGCTCATGAAGCCTCCCGAGGCAACTTTTGGAAGTTTAGTTACATACTGTAAATAAATTTGACTAAGCTTGAGAAGTTTTTATTTCCTAAACCATTTTAAGACATGTCTAAATGGACTGTAAGCCTCCCGTTTCCTCAAATGAGATTTGTAATGGTTGTTGAGAGTCTCTCCCTAGAGCCTGAAAAATGATGAATTTTAGGCCTTAAACTCTGAACTGTTGCAGCGTTTGGGCTGGCAAAGCCACAGAGCGAGTGGAGAGAATCACAAAAAAAGCTGCAGAAGTATAAATGACGGTAAATGACATTTTAGTAATACACTGACCAGACGCAGCTTTGTCATATTGTCAAAAAAAAAAACCCAAACCTCCAGTGTGAAAGGTGGGTTTTAAAGAGCCCAGTGTTCCATTCACAAAGTGACTGGACAGATTATAAAGCTGCAGTCCTGTGAACAAACAGAGTTCAGTACAGTTGGCTTCCTTTTGTCTGTCTGTGAAACAAGAGTGTTTTAAAGCAGTCTGACTGTCAGTTGAAGCGCAGCTCAATGGCTTTGACTGTAATCTTTTCTACCATTTGTCACACACGCATATTCAAGTCAAAAAAACAGAGAGTTTGGAGTCCTTTGGGACAAATGTTGTCTGTTGATGGAGCTGTCACCACTGCGCTCCAGTCTCTTCTATTCAGGCCAGGTTTATAGACACTGTATAATTGCCTGATAAAATCCATTTCCCTGAATGGATGTCACAGGACAGAGAGCTGGCAGGGAGATCAGGAGGAAGACTGATGAGAAAGGTTAGGTCGTGAGCCGTGGAGTCGCTGTCACTTCCTCTGGGTCTGAACCGTTTTAATTTTTACATCTCTCTTTCTACATTTTCTCAAAGTTTTGACTGCTGCGCTCAGCGGCCAATTAACAATTGAACACTTCTGCATTCAGAGTTACTGCGAGCGAGTCAGGAATAATTGATTTGAGATGACAGAGAATTGGGAATGTGACAATTACTGGCTCTTCCTGTGCACTGCTGGACCTTCTGCTGTATTTTACCTCTTTGCTTTCTCGCCCCTCTTTCATATTTTCTTTTCTCTTTCTGTCATTTCGCTGTTTCATTTCCATGTGAATAGACCCCTCATCCTCGAGAGATTATGAGACCACATGAGGACCACTGTGGCCGGCTGACTGACTGAAAGGATTTAGACCATGACAGCCCATTTGAGTGATTTGGTGTGCATGAGTCAGATAAATGAGCCCCTCAGTGCACCTCCTCAGCCACCTTTTAAGAGGAGCTTAGACAAGACTGGGAGGGCAGCTGACACACCTGTACAGGAGGACATCCACAGAGAGAACTGGAATATTTGGTGCCCCCGTAGCTATTTAGAGAGTGACGCAGAGCTGTAAACCCCATAAAAAGTTGTTAACATTAGCGGAAAATGTAGCATTCCCCAAATGGCTGCACTTGAGGAACTCGTAAAAGCAGCTTTGCTTTCAGTGTGTGGCTTTTAGGTTATCCTGAGTTTTATATTTGTCAGCCTCTAGAGGACTGTTAAGAATTCTTCAAGTCACATATACTTTACTCATCCAAACCATAAGTCATTGCTTTAATTTCACTCCCTCCAGTACAGTAGCAAAAAAATCCCTTTGCAGAGACTTAAAATCCTTGACTGTAAAGATTTAGTTGACTTCACTTTTATCTCAGACTTCCTTTTTTTTTTTTTTGTTAAAGTAATAAATTTGCCAACAGGGACTGTGTTTAATACTCGTTCTTTCTTTCCAGTGGATTCTGAGTCAGCTGCAGGGAATTAATCTTTTTAATGTGAATAACATACAAACAACAGTTTTCACCATAAATTAATCATTATTATTTTTGCATCGTTTTTGTGAATTGCTTGTTTTGTCTGACAAATAGTCCCTAATCCCAAAGTATTAAATGTACAATGACAAAACAAACAGCTGGTTAGTTAATGACAAACTCACATCGCCTTTTCCAGGGCGTTCTTGTTTACTTCTTGTTTTTATTGTGTCTTCCTGACAACTTATCTTGTAAGTATAATACCTTCTGGCTGCTCGCCTAACACGGATTGATTGTTAGAACAGTCCACAGACTCACAAGTGCATCGCCTTGCAATTTTATTAAAAAGAGAAAAAAAAAAAGTAATAAATGTCCAGTGTGATGTATTACCTGTCTCACCTTTATTTAACCTACATCTCCTGTAGGTTTCGCTGGGAAACCAAACAGGAAGGAAGAAAATTAATCTTAAAACTTGTTTAGTTTGTTTTAGAAAATGTACACCAATAATGTAAAGTAAATTGCATTTGTTAAGAGGCTAAATCATGCAAAACCACCACTGTGGTACTTTTGAAATAAAGGAACAACAACAAAAAACAGTAAGAGTAGAACAACCTTTTAATGTCCACCAACATGGGGACCCCAGAATCTAAAGGTTTCAGTTACAGTTGTCCTCGAATGTACTCATACCCTTCCATTAAAAAAAGGCAAAATTCACAAAAGTCACTCAAATAGTTAGAAACTGAGAAAAGTAATAACAAGTGAAAATTTGCTAAATTATAATTTAGTGAAAAAAGACATTGCTTTTGAATTGTGGTTGAAAAGAATAATTTAAAAAAACAAACAAACAAAACTGTCCTGGACAAATTAGAGCACTTTGCTGATGAGCAGTGGACCAAAATCAAAATACCTGTCAACAGGTGCAGAAGTCTGATTGAGAGTTACAGAAAACACTTGATTGCAGTGATTGGCTCAAAGCGTTGTTCAACAAAATTGTTGCTGTTTTTTTTTTTTGTATGTTTTTTAATACTTCTGTTGAACCACAATTCAAACGAAATGTCATGATTTTCATTCCATTTTTATTTATTCTTGCTTTTGTCAATTTCAGCTTATTTTAGTGACAGCTGTTTTTCTTCTTTAATGGGAGGGTATGAATACATTTGAGGACGACTGTATGCCCTATGTGTGGTGTATATTCTTGTTGTTCTGTGATTGCATGTTTAGGGTTATAATTGTGTAGCTTTCTGTGGTTCTAGCAGCCCAACAGAAATCATTCATAGCTCCAGTCCAGTGGGTGTAATAGTATGTTTGAATGTATAATACATAACGTGGGCCTGTGATTCCTTGTCTTAGTGCTGCTGCCTGCTGTTAACATCACATTCAGTGTAGTCCACACCTGTATGCAGCTGTGTTCGTCCGTAACATTATGCAACGCTCAAACCAGCCGTTGTCATGGTGTCAGCCCTGAGGGACTGCTGGGACTTTCTGTGAGAGCACAGTCTATTGTATTAATAGCTTCACCTTTCTGCCTGTTGTTGTTGTTGTTGTTTTTTTTCAGTGTGCATGTGTGTGAATCGATTTGGGTCGTGCACACGTGTGTGCTGGTTTGCGTCATAAAAGAAACAAGCAGGCTCTCTGGACGTTCAGCTCTTCAGGTTGCTGGAGGCGAGCTTTGTTTGATAGAAAGCACTTAAGAGTGTAACTGTTTACATTTGGAACTGGGAGAGGAGTTGGAGGGCTTGTGTGTGTGCATTTGTGTGTGAAGGTGTGTCTGTGTATTTGTGTGTGTGTGTGTGTGTGTGTGTTCAAAAGAAGCACACAGAGAAAGAGAGATGTCACCATTCCCCCAGATAAAATTGGATCAGGTTGGCAATGCTCCACAGAGTGTCTGTCGGTGTATTTTCAGTGTTGGTGTGTGCACTGGTGCTTGGGATACATGCACACACACCTCCTCCCTCCCCTCCCCTCCCCTCGCCTCCCCATCACTCCTTTCACTCCTCCAAAAGGGGGTCTTATTCTGCTGGAACAACATTGGCATTCATATCACAACACTCACACATCTTAGAGATTATCATATTTCACAATCTTTCCATTCGTAGGATTCGGCTCCTCTCAGGTACGTCTGCCTGTTTGAACTGGTCTCACACCTTATCGATCCGCGTTGCTCCACATCGCAGTTTAATCCTCAAGTGTTTGCTCGTGATATCGGCACGTTGCTCTGTTTGACAGTCATTGTTTGGTTAATGATATTTTCAGTCTTGTGTTTAGACTCGGCAGCAGCTGCTCACACACTGCACACTTTGCAGCAGGCAAAGGCAGCCCGGTCTCACAGAGCAGCATTGATCTACAAAAGCTCCCAATATTTTATTGAGCAAATGCACTTTGTATCTCTTTCATATCTCTGTCGTCATCCTTGTGTAATCCACCACATCAGCTTATTTAATGTGTTTGAACTCTGCTGCACCAGCTCTCCTTCTTTTTCAACTTCTCCTCTGACTTTTTCAGGTGTCACAGACGACTAACACGGTTGGCTTTTTGTGTGTGTGCTTTATCTTTTCAGGTTTCTTCAGTCTTTTCTACAGCACAGTGAAAGAGGCTGCCAGTGTGTGTCTCAGTGCGTAGGTGTGTGGGTGTGTGTGCGTGCAGAGGTGTGTGTGAGTCATCGGGTGAATATGTTTGCGTGAATGCCTTTGTATACATATACACTGTGGTCGGAGAGCGATTGTCCCATGAGGCGCTCAGTGGAGATGCGTGGAGCTCGATCCTCTGCGCTGCGGCTCCTGCTGCTGAGCTGCTGGTGTGTTGCGGCGGCTGGTTACCCGTTCAGGACGCCGTCGGACCTGGATGTGACGCCACGTATCACCGTGTTGAGCAGCGGTAAGGACTGACCCAAAAACACAGATGGTGTTGTTAAAAAAATCTGTTTGTGGTGTATCTCATTACTACCAAATTCTCAACAGTTCTCAGTTCTCAATTCTACCCTAAATTGCAGAACTATTTCAAAGTTAACATCCACCCCTTTCATGGTGTTTTTACAATTTGACACACTAGTGAGAAATCCATTGGGTTTCTTTCCATATTATAGTGTTATAAGGTGCCCTGAGAAGACTTACATTTTGAATTGGCACTAGATAAATAAGATTCAATTAAACTGAAAACACAAATGGTATAGCTTATAACAGGTAAGGCCAAAATGCACATGTGAGAGTACATTTAAAAGGTAACATATGGTTTCTGCCTATTTGGCATGTGGCTAAAACACAACTTAAACTACACCAGTTCAAATACGTCACATTTACATACCAGTAACTAGGACACACTTTATGCCACAACTATGCAAATCACCACATACCTTCTACATCTTGTCAACCTCATATGTATGACATTCCAGACCTCTAGACCCTAACCTTTATGGGACTGAACTGTTGAACTGTGGAAAGTCTAGTCGCTCGAACAATGTGTAGCTTGTCTATGTTGACAAACATTAAGTTGCTTTGAACTACATAGCTCAAGTGAGTCACCAGTGACGTGATGGCGTTAAATACCTGAAGGTGACTCATGTTTTTGTTGCTAAATTGTGACGAAGTGCTTTACATTCAAACAACAATAGTAATAGTAGCTGTCAAGTTTTTAACAATATACTTCTACAAAAAAGCTCTTGACCTGCTCATTGTCTTCCTCTTTTCTTGACGCTGCAAGCCTCGCTCTTCTTTCTTTTTTGTTTTCCATCTCTTTCCTCTCTTTCATTTTTTTTTTCATCCCACATGAGTCCTGAGACTCCTCTCACTCCTCTTCATGTCCTTTGTGTGCACACTGAATGGAATATACACTCGTCTGCCTCTTCTGTCAGCTGTGATGATATTTCCTTATCAAGCTGTGATTATTATTTACTTACGTCGTGAGTGATGGCATGCAGCCTGAGGTGATGCAGAGACAGAGGCAGATGAGTGAAGTGCTTACTCCTGGATCCCTGGAGTCTGACACCACTAGTTGAGAAGCACCGTAACCATGACAACTGTTGTACTATGGCGCAAGACGGTCGTATACAGCATTTTTCTTTTGTGCATGTGTGGGGAGGCGTGCATCCTTCAAGCAGGACTCTTATCTGGTCCTGGACTTTATTTGTTGAGACATAGACGTGTGAAAGAAATTTTCTCACATCTCCACTTTGACTCGCGCCCAAGTGTGCTTCTTTTACTAGATCCACTTGTGGAACAATATCCATGTTCTTATCTCGTTTTCTCAACAGTTGTCTTTTTCACAGTACATCGCCTACTTACGCTCATTATCTGTCTTTTCTCCCCCTGTTACTCCTCGTGTTACCTTTATCTCAGTTTCTGTAAATCAATCCAGCCTGCAGGTCCTCCTACATGACTCACCTCTATCTCTGCCGCCCCATCGCTCTCTGGTGCACTCCCCCTCCTCTATCTGTCCATCTCGCTGGCTGTGCAGTTAAGCTCTTTCTCTTTAACTTAACTTTTCTTTATGAGTTTTTACTTTTCATGGTTGCACTACCCTCTTTTTGTTCCTTTATATCACCCTCACTTCTAGTCTTCGCTACTTTTGCTTCCCTCATCCTGATGAGAAAACTTCGATATGCAAACTTACCCCTAATCCCTTTAATCGCTGTGTTTCTTAGCAACCTAAAGGCAAAGCCTCCAAATCCGTGTGTGGTAGAAAAAATTACACATCTACACACACACACATCGTCAAACACTCACACTTGTTCTCTCTACAATGAAAGTTTGCTTTTTCTCCTCTTGAATAAGGCAAAAAAGAATAGGGGAGGGAAAGGATTATTATGTTAAGGATTATAAATTTGATGGATTTCAGCTCAGTCTTTTAGTGGCTGAAAGGCTAAAAGCTGGAAAAAGGGAGGGGGAGCAGGTTGTTAAAAAGAGTGAAAACTGGTAATGCATCAACATACATTTTTACCCGGTGATTTCAAATTGGGGCTGTCGTGATGTCCGATTGACATGATTGTTGTAGCCACATAAATTTAAAAAAAATTCAAAATTCATCTATACCCGTTTATTGTACATTTTGTCGCTTTTTTAAGTAAATGAATTCCACTTCAAATATGAATGGAGATGAAGAGAGACTTTGTGATTGTAGAAATACTGCATGCTGTTCCTATGTTGGAGTGTCAAATAAGATAGATACTGGTGCTGGGGTGCTGGATTTGTTTTTTTTTTTTACAATATTAACCATAGTAAGGTTTCCCATTCACCCATTTATACACCAGTGGGAGCAGAGCTGCTGCTTGCCTGCCACCAGGGCTAACTTGGATGTGGAGGGGTCTAAAGATTGAGCCACCAGCCTTACAGTTAGTTGACAACCTACTCTACCACCTGAGGCATGGCCACCCCTGTATAATTTTTCATTTTTTAAAATATCATTAACATCATGTTGCCAGTCCTTGTGTATTGCAGCACCCCTTTTTTCAACCTGCCAAGTATTTTGAGAACTTCCCACACTTTGACAGTCAACAGATTTAACTTTTCTTTATTCAGTACCAACAGTTTGTTTGCACGTCAGAACACTCTGAACCGTAAACAGGCCCGACGCTCAAGTATGAGTTTGCATGTAAGACTGTCACGTCACAGTCTAATACCTGGAGGTTCAGTGAGTGTGTGTGTGTGTGTGTGTGTGTGTGTCCGTCCCTGAACACAGTGTACTGTGTGGATCAGCTGAGGTCCCTCCAAGTGTTTGCTCAGTAAATAATATCATCTGGGCTCCTCTCGCTGCTGTGCTCACACCTTTTCTTTCCTTCCAGACGAACTCAAACGTACCTTTTTCTTGCATGATCTCATAAGCTGAAGATAAAATGTGCTTTGGGATGTTGTCTCATTGTAATACAGCCCAGATAAATCTCCCGGTGCTGCGTCACGCTCTCAGCTTGGTTGTTTTGAGTTACCTGGCTCCAGCTGTCAGGCCCTCACACGCACACACAGGCTATTGTGGGTCGTAATGCTTGGATTACACCGAGGAAGTGTAGACATTGTCTGCGCTATAATGCATCGTCCTCACCCACAATGAGACACTCACATCACGTAGGAAAAGTTATTGTTCTGAAAATCCCAGACAGATAATACTCTTCTTCCTCCTGCCGAGAATAACGGGGGAAAAAAAAAGTCGACACCTGATCGCCCAAGAGCAGCTTGGGATGGGAACTGACTGCTTCTGCTGCTGCTGCTGCTGAAGTGAGCAGAGTGGATTGTGTTTCTCAGCAGCTGATAGGAATCTTAATGACAGCTTACTTGATAACCATGCAGTCTTCAGGGGGAAGTGGATTGGCTGAGAATGCAGGAAGTCTGACACTTTTCTGTTTAGGTACCGTGCTCATTGATGGGCCTGAAATGTGGCTGCCTTTTGTGTTTATGCGGCTTCATTGCTGTCACAATTCTACCACAGCTGATAGCGAAACGTGCTCCGCATCAGTCACGTCAAATGTTTTAATTACACTCCAAAGTATGACTTAGCTTCACATAGTTACAGTCCTGTGGCAGTGTTACTGGGGTTGCCTAGAGGTTCTGTTTTTTTCACTGGTGTATGTGCGTGTGTTGACACTGGTGCAATGTTTACCCAAGCTTAGTGGAGTCCTGATAGATTGTATGTTTAGACCTTACGTAACTGTCCAGCATCTCATGACTGCTGCAGACAACTTTATAACGTGCTCTGTTAGTGTGTGTGCTCGTGCTGCGCAGTACAGTATGTCTCTGCTGCTGAGTGTTTGTGTGACTGAACCTCATTAGTATTGTGTTCTGTCAAACAGATGCATCCCAATATAGCCTGGGGAGCTGGATGGGGGACATGTACACAAAGCAAAGAAACCTCAAACCGCAGAAATCCACAGAAAGTAGTGAGGGTCTGCGTGTTGTGTGTTTCACGGCCTTCTTCTTTCTTTATTGGAGCTGTGTGGGATAAGCATAATCCTTTTATTGTTCAGAGTGGAGATAAAATCCAATGTCTTATCAGTGCTACTGTATGTAAAACAAAGAAAAGCTGATAATCCTTACAATCATGATGCTAGAATCACCAAATTTGTGGCAGATTAGATATACTATTGAGGGGACTCCCTCCAGTTTTATTAGCACATAAGGAAACAAAACAATGGAGAGTTTATTTTAGCCTATATGGTGAATTTTCCATTGCTGATGGCGATGTTAGAATGAAGACTCCATGTAGATGAGGCGACCGACAAAGGCACATAACATGGCGGTTATTATCAAGTTCAGAAAGTGTCTAAATGTTTAGCCAATCAATATTTGTCTTCTTTGAGCCATACAGCTGTTTTTTTTTTTTTTAAATTACCCTCAGAAGTACCTGCTCTGAGTAGATGCTTTTATCTTCCCCAAAAGCAGTCCCAAAAAGATGTTCTACAGTTACGGTTCTTGTGGTCAGAACTCTCTCAAACACCCTAAAATGGCTTGTACATTCCTGCAGTGAAAAACAGCCTTTTGTAATATTTCCACATTTCAGCCACTGTTACACTCCATGTTTGTTGCAACAAGCAATTGTTAGCACACTGATGAACTAGCTTAACATTAAGACCAGAGTAAAACACAAGTATGCAATCTCATTGGATAGAAATCATATTCATTAACGAATTACCTTCACAAATGACCTGGAACGTTGGTGATTATTTCCTGAAAGGTATTGTGTGATATCTATTATGTTTTTTTTTGGTTTTGTTAGTGTATTTTTCTTATTCCGAGCTAAACAGTACAGCTATGTAAGGTTTTTTTGTGCAGCTGCAGTACAGTCGAGTTGAATAGAAGAAATTTTCTCTCACAGTCTAAAAAAAGAATCTCAGAGATTAAAGGAAGTCCCTCAGAATCAAAGAACAAGGTCTTCTCACCACTTTGCACCAGCGTTCGAAAATAATACAGCGAGAAATCCATCACAGAAGATGAAATTCTGTTTCACCCTTTATTCTCATACTGTCAAGTTTGATTGAAAAAGCTCTCGCTCTGGAGCTTTTAATATGCCCCTCCCTGGTGGCTGGGACTTTCTAAAGGCATTTAGGGAGATGTATTTGTGCATGAATATCCAGTGTGTGTGAAATTTTTCTTTTTTTTTGCTATCTTTTGCTCACATTATCACATGGACACATAGATGACAATACAGATTGTTTGTAAGTGCATGTACACAATGCAGTAATCAGTCCAGAAGTCCTACAGCTAATAAGGAAGTCAACTTATGTAGTGTTGTAGGAAATATGATTGTAAACAGAGGAAGCTTTTTCTCTGAAAAATGGTATTTGTGAGCCTACGGTTGTTCCCATAGAGACAGACCATAATCAATAGCAGCATCGGGCAGTGTTTGTGCTGAGATATACCCAGGTGGTAATGTGTGTAGACAGATATACAAAACCATTAGTATTGTCCAAAATCGCACAAGAAAACGACGCCTAAACTGGGTTGACGTCATCATTTTTTCTCCCACTGACTCTGAGTGTGTCATCTCTGAAACTCCACCAATCCTACACTGAACGGAAAATTATACCAGATATCAGACCACTGATTCAGCCGCTAAAGAAAGAAGAGCATGTGTGGCATATTAATGTCTGAGATTTGTGTGTTTTTTAAGGGGGCATTAGGAGCTTCTTTGCATAAATAGACATAGCAGAAGCAGTGTCAGGGGGTTAGAAAAGGTCACCTTCATTAACAACAATGCCTCTCTCCTCTCCTCTCCTCTCCTCTCCTCTCCTCTCTCAGGTCTCCAGGGTTGCAGACGTTTCCACTCCTCTGCAGTCAACTACAGCACCATGTTGCTGGAGGCTGACAGTGAGCGTCTCTACGTCGGGGCCCGGGGGGTTGTGTTCGCCCTCAATGCCTCTGACATCTCAGCCAGCTCTGCTCTCACCGTGAGTTTGTTTGTTTCTGTGCTCTTCCATATCTTTAACACTGCCACAGCGTCATTTGCATTTCACAATGCAGGAACTTTGTGTGGCAACAACATTTCGTTTTTAGCCAAAAGTATTTATTCCCCTGTCAGCCCCTTGTGTGTTTCTGCGTTTGTGTGTGTAGTCGTATTGTTTTAAACAGAATAACTCACTGTCACACCACAGGAGCATCTCGTTGCATAAATTAATATATTGATGAGAATAAAACTGAAGAACCGACGACTGTATCTTTTCACTGTAACTTTAAATAGATCCCATATTAATATCATCCACGTATGTTACCACAGAAGTAGTCTCTCATTAATTCAATAATTAGCATAACACACTATGTACCTCAGCCCAGCGTTGCCAGTATGTATCCTACTTTTTAGGCTCAGAATTCACCCTCTGTACCTTGTTTTTGCTCCTGTCACATTTTTACTCACTGTGGGCTATTTTTTCACTCCATTATGGTTTCCCACAACTTTATGAAAAAAAAAAAAAAAAAAACCATGGCATGAAAAAAATGGTGAATGTAGATGCTGTAGCTGTTTTACTACTGACATTTTCAGTGTGTTTCCATTCTTGTCTCCTATCTTTGTGTAAACACAGCCTTCAATTCAGCCAAAAAGGTTAAAACTCTGCCAAATGCGAAACTCTCAATGTTTGGCATTTTGTACATATTCTTGTCACATCTTGTTATATTCTTATTATTAAAGTCTGTGGGTTAAACAGTGTTTCTGCACAAGTTTGAGATGACAGTCATAACAAAGTGTCTGTTTGAACACATAAGCTACTCTTCTGTGCAATATTGCAGGTTCAAATAACTTGGTTGATGATTGTGAGAGGATTTTCTCATTTGTTTTTTTTTCTTATCGTCGTTGTCAGTGTCAGACCAAATTTTTCATACTATTTATAGCTGCAGTGTTTTTAGCTGTTTTCATTAAATTTATCTTCACTCAGCAGTCTACACAGAATTATGTATTGTCAGTTGTCATTACTGCACTTGTTTGAGGGGTTGTGAAAACTGCACAAGACAGTTACAAGACCTGATTCATGCATGTCTATGAATTGTAAAATCTATAAAAGTAGGACAGGCCGTACTTTAAGGAGAAAACACATTTGCTTCAGTGTAAGTATAGCTGCCATTATTTATAAAGAAGATGTTGAATTTTAATCAGGGTCTTCGTCTTCTTCATAAGAGTCTGTCTAATGATGTGTTTCACCTTCATCCAAGAGGCTTCTTCAGCTCTAACTGAGTGATAGAGAGTCTCAGGTATTTATTCTCTCTTCCAAATTACATGGCTAATGGCCCATTAACACCCCTCACATGCCTCCAGGTGTGAATGGTTGTGGAACTGCCAGGTTAGGGATGACTCAAGATGTTATTGGAGGTGAAACTTTTTGCAGAGAGATCTCAGGGCTGCATTATAAGTACATTGAAGTGGTATAGTAGACCCCTTTCTCTGTTTAGAGATGGCTGTTCCAGGTTCACACAGTAGCTTCCTTCATTTCTCTCCCAAACTGTTTGTCTTCATCCAGTTTCATTTCAAACACAACTCCAGGAAGATGTTGTCTTCATTACCTCAAGTGACAACAGGTTTCACTAAATCAACGGCAGTCGAAATCATAGCTTGATAATGATTTTTGTCCTCGGCTGGTTGCAACATCATAGAAGCTGAAAAACTCCTTTGACTTGCTGCTTTGTTTGTTGCTATACCTGACAACAGACTGACATTAAGCTGTTTTGCTAATTATGGTAATAAAACAGTTGCCTGTGTCATAAGATATAATTTGCTGGCCTGTGTGCGTTCATTGCAGCCACTCCTCCTTCTCCTGCTATACTTGAAATTCAAATGAGCTAAGCCGACTTTCTTTGCCACAAAAGAGACAAAATTCCTAAAGTATGAATTATTAAAGCAAAAAAAAAAATTTCCATCCGCTTGTTTATCTACTGTCAGATCTGTGATTTTGCCAAAGAGTTTATGCAAGTCAGTGATATGAACTCATTCATCTCTGAGTGTTCTCTTTCTGTCTCACTGTATGTTATCTGCTGTGTTATAGATTGAGTGGGAGGCCTCCCCAAAGCAAAAGCATTTGTGCGTGCTCAAGGGAAAAGACAATAAGGTAGGCACTTAGTAGTTCTTTCAGTCTCAGTACTTCCTCTTCATCTTTTTGTGTTTTGTTCTCTATGTACTGATATTCATCCCTCACTGTAATATATATATTTTTTCCTTCTCCTTTCAGACGGAATGTTTTAATCACATCCGCTTCCTCCAGAGGTTCAACTCAACTCATCTCTACATGTGTGGGACTCATGCCTTCAGTCCCCTCTGTGCATACATAGTATGTCCATGCATAACACATACATTTCCTCTGTGGCAGTGCAAGTACAGTATAATTGCATGTTGTGCTAGCTGAAAATATTTTGAGATCTCTATATATTTTTGAAATCCAAGATGAACTTAAGTGTTTTTCATCTTGTTACCCAAACATCTTTACCTGCATAGGATGAAGAGAGGTTTGTGATGTCATCTCAGCCTGAAGAGGGCAAAGACAAATGTCCTTATGGCCCAACAACAGGTTACACTGCCCTCATTATAGGTAAGCTGGCTAAAAACAGTTGTCAGTCACTTCCATTTAACCACTGAAGCACCTGACAAACCACATCTCTCCTCCAGACCAGCAGATATATACGGCTTCCCAGTATGAGTTTAGGAGCTTTCCAGATATCCGCCGCAACTCTCCATCTCCCACACTAAAGACAGAAGATGCTCCCACACGCTGGCTGAATGGTGAGTTATTCTCCTGGAATGATGTAAGCCCTTTTTAGCATGTTTGGGTGGCAGGACAGGAGCAAGTGGACGGAGGTTTGGTGAGCAAGTGAGCTATCAAGTTATCATGTACTCTGCTGGAGTATCCTCAGCAACTTACACACTGATTCAGCTTCAGTGGATCAATAATGCATTAACTTTCATTACACCTACTACCGATCGCTTGAGTAATTCTTAGAACAATACGACTTGGTTTTACATGAACTGACAACTGTTTTTTAGACCCGGGCCGTCAGTCGAACACTTTGGTGCTGGCTGAAGTAGCTGAACAATCGTTGCACAATTGTCATGACATTTTGTACAGACATTCATGGTTTCCAAGGCAATGCATCTTAACAACTTTGGTCATCCCCTGACTTTTCCTTTCAGTTGATGTGTGATGTTTGAATGAAATATCTTGATAACACCTTGATGGAATATATTTGGTTCAGGCAATCATTTTCCCATTAGGATTAATTGTGATATTTTGGATAACTTTTAAACAAGCATTGTGACATTAACACCATTATCAGGTCAGAATCTTAATTTTTCTACACCATCCAGTAAGATAGTCAACATAGCAAACATTATACCTGCCAATCCAGCTACATTTTTCTTTGTCCTAAAAATGTTCTAGTAAAGTTCTAGTAATGTTTTTAGTAGGCATTGAGAATGTCCTTCCTTTATTATCATGTAACATTGTGGGGCTGTTGTATAAAAGAGCATGCTATAATGTGGTACTGCAACAACATCCCCAAAACATCCAGAGAATATTGCAGTCAAAATGTCCTGCCTTTCATACATTACTTTATCATTAAACATTGTTTGAATGTTGGTTTGAGATTGTTCTTTCTTTTTTATCTTGTAACATAATCTATGACCATTGACAACATCCTCAAAGCATACTTTTTAACCTCATAGGAACATTATTTGAAATTATGTGTATCCTTGAAGCGAAAGCATAGGTGTAACTGAGAATAGCTTCAGAGAACCAATAGCATCACTGTATCGTAGTCTTGCTAACACGTTCCTTTAAAAATGCAGTTTTGGGTTGAAATGATTCAAAAACGTATTAAAATGCTTGGCTCACTCTGATGTTTCACAGCTTACTAAAGCATGTAATCGTCTTCTGCTTCACCTTTTGCTTTCAGCATCTGTCCTGTAACACTGGTGGTGTCATGTCTTTCCCCTCATGTTATAAATATGCAACTGCTCAGTGTGTAGTGTTTACTGGCAGGTGCATTTCTTCTCACCTTATTTTTATTTTGGCAAGTTTCTACTGGTTGAATATTAAGTTGTTAAGAAGACACATGCAATACAGACTTTCATGGTATTACAGGTTCATGCCACTGTCAGCAACTAATTGCTTCACGAGGTGAAAAAAAAAACAAACCTTTATCTGACAAGAAATAAAAGCACAGTGTGAGTCAAAGCATGTTTTTCTCCCTCTTGCAGAGGCAGACTTCGTGGGTTCAGCACTTGTGAGGGAGAGTTTGGGCAGCAGCACCGGCGATGACGATAAGATCTACTTCTTCTTCACTGAGACGAGCCAAGAACAGACAACAACCTACAGCCGCAGCAGGGTGGCTCGAGTAGCTCGGGTTTGTAAGGTGAGCGCAGATTAAAAAGACATGCAGGAAACATTTTGCAACAGGGAACGAAACCTTGCATCAGGCTAGCTTGAGTGAAGGCTTCGTTGATGATCGGAGAGGGCACTGTAATAGATGAGGGGCTGGATGGGGAATGCATTTGGAACATGGCCCCATTGTAATTAGAGGAGCAGACTGTGCAGCTGATGAATTGGTTGCTGAGTCAGTGTGGCTCAGAGTGAAAGGATGGATGACTGCAGGTGAGACACAGACTGTTTAGCATCCGCCGCTGCCTGAAATGTGAATGATTTACATCTCCTACTGCCCTGGAAGAGGTTGAAAATGGCAAGAGCCAGCTGTACAGTGTTATAACCTTGTTGTTTTCTCCTCCCTAAAATGAAGTCGGCGCACAAATGCTCTCCTTGAAAGCATGGCGGCATATTTGTGTTTTCATCTTTATAGAAATGCCTTGTGGCGGCGTATGTGACATTTGCATTTCGCTACAGGCTGAATACATTTTAAAGTTGAAATCAAAAGGCAAGGTGATGTCATTTGCTTGGTTTCCAAAAGAATCGTGGCCCTGAGTCAAGTTTTTCCACTGTGAACCTGTCAGAACATTTTTTTTAATCATGAATGGGAGTTGAGATGTGTTTTCATGGGTTGTTTGTGTAGCTGTCACTTCCAGTTAGAAGCTCACTCCACAGCGAGTACTTTCAGCCTGCTGAGGACAAACCCACCCTCACACAACCTGTAGATTACAGTGGGGAGTCTTACCTATGGGAAGCCATAACCTTATTGAATATATCGTTATTGCTTTCTCTCACCATCTGTTGCACTCTTCAGGAGGTTCACAGCCTCTTGTGTGCCACCTTGAGCCAAATCTGTTTTTCCTTTATTCAGGTTCTTACCTCATATGACCCTGTCTTCTCCCTCCTCCCCCTCTCCTCCCTCCTCCATCTCTCTTGCCTCAGGGCGACCGAGGAGGCCACTTAACTCTCCAGAAACGCTGGACGTCCTTCCTCAAGACCAGGTTGACTTGCTCTCTGCCTGAGTATGACTTCCACTTCAACATGCTGCGCAGCGTGTTCGTTATGCCTGGACGCACACCACAGGACACGGTCTTCTATGGCATCTTTGGCCTGGAGTGGTAAGTGGGAATTTGTGTGTTGTCAAGATCTCCGGCTGACGGGGGGCTTTGAGGTTGCAAATGTAAATGAGTGAGACAGAGATGAAAGGCAGCAATCGATACATTAAGACAATCGAAGAAGACAGGAAGGAACGAGATGAAAGAGAGGAGAGAAACAAAGCCCAGAGAACTTCTTTATCCCAGCGATGTTGGGAAGTTAGTCGGTAGAGTTTTACAGAAGTCTGAGGAGAGAATTAATTAAAAATGCAGATTTACATGGCCTTTAGAAAGTTGGAATCAAGATTTCACTTGTTTATTCAGTGAGACCTGTGATTACCAGGGCAACAGCAAGTGGTTTAATACAACAGCATACACTCATTAAGCAGTCCGAGGAGCAACTGGTGTCTCTGTTTACAGCACTACCAAGATATATTGTTTTAATAAGAGAATTGGTTAAAATATCCGTCTGCACAGCAAAGTTGGTTTCTGGAAACTGTTACTCTTGAACTAACAGCTTGCCGTCACTGCTCTTTAAATGGAATTAAAATGGTTACCTGTCAAAGTAATTTACTGCTTTATATCTTTATATCTGAACAATAATGGTTAACTAATGTTTCGTAATCAACCACTGCCTTTGCCTTTCCAGTTCAATAGGTTCAATGTAAAGCAGCAGCTGTTGGCGGTATTTGTTGTGCGTAAGCAGTTACCCAGTTTAGCTCTCACATGGTGTTACGTAAAGCAAATAGTGAGACTTTTATCAATAAGATAGAATTAAGTGCATTCATAGTTTTCCTGTCTATCCCCTCATGCAGAAGAACAACTACACAGTGAGGCATGTAAATAAAGTAAAGGACCATTGCGGATAAAAATGCCAATCATAGACAGCAATAATAAACTGAGGTCCAATGTCATGACTATGAAACAAAGATTCTAATACAGACAAAAGGGAAATTAAAGGAAAAAACCAAAACAGCATTAAGTGTCTTTGTAAGGTTTTGTGCTACTATGTGTCTTCAGACCAGCTTCAAGTCTCAGGTACTCTCCTGGAACACTGTTCAGCCAAAAAAAATGTCCTTCATTTGGTGTTTAAATGATGGAAATGTAGAGCAATGTCTATCACATCACTCCAAAATGTCCTAGCCGTCTGTAATATGGTTGAAGACACCACTCCCGTTAGGATATCAATGTTCCATCATATGATAAACATGATCATTCAGCGCAACTGTGTATTGATTTGCAGTGACTTTTCCTCATAAAGGAACACTTGGACACAAAATATGCACCAAAATTCCCCCTACAGCGTAACTGAACCACCGGATACCCTGACTGCAGGAATCAAAGTTTCAAGTTTTATGACAAAGCAAAATGTGTCGTTATGCAGAAATGTAAACGATGATTATCTTCTGAATTTTTGTTCCGTTGGGATGCTGCTGTCTCCTCTCCAACTCCCTGTCTCCTCTCTCTCACCTCAGCTCCTTCTACACCTCTCTGAAACTATTTTGTTTTCTCCTCCTTCCCCCCTACTCTTCTCAGAGATGTATGACTTCTAATCAGTTCATACTATCTCTGTCGGTGTTTGAACCCTCCCCCCTCTCCTGTGCTTCCCTCCCGTTTGTCTCTTTCCATCGCTTTGACTAGGTGAACCACTGATCTACTGTACTGCTACTGCTGTCACTATGGCAACCCTGGGTTTATTGCTGTTATTGTTCGTGGATTGTGCTCTGGTCTTTCTCACTGTGTGAGTTGATGTCTTCAGGAAAAACGTGAAGGCGTCTGCAGTGTGTCGGTTCTCTCTGCCTGAAGTCCAAGAGGCCTTTCAAGGACCTTACATGGAGACCCAGGACTCGGGCTCTAAGTGGAAGGAATACACTGGAAAGATCCCTGAACCACGACCTGGAACGGTAAACACATATCTTCACATGCAGGCAGCACAGCCTGTTAAACATGAGATGAAGCACAGAAATACCATCTCCCTCAGCTTCAACCTCCAAGAAGTAGAAACCCAAATAGAGAACCGATGGAACTGATCCAAAGTGAAGATGCTTAAAGGGACAAAGCTCAGGAAAAGATGGAGGGAAAGTGATAGGGACGATGAGTGGCAGCCTCAAGCATGAGGCTCAAAATACAACCAGCTTATGTCACTGAAACCCATTTCCATGGCGATTAACTCCAGCTCGTAGCTTTGGCGACAATGGCTTAGTGCAGCAGCTAGGGCCGTGGCATCACTAGCAGGAGCAGACATTATCCACTGCAGTGTCACTTCAACACTTTGTAGGACTTAATTTTAACTTTGCTATTAAATTGAAAAGGAGAAATGGTCAAGGGTTTTAACTTGTGAGCGTGAAAGCCTCTTATAGGACTGGGCTGAAGTCATTTGAAAAGGACAAAGATAGAAAGGAAAGTTGTTCCTTAGTCAGGTGCAGAGAGAGCTGAGTCACCCCCATGTCAGCATAAGCTGGCTGCCAAACTCACATGGACTCATTGTAATCTAAGTGAAAAGTCGCATTTTCCCTTGACACAGTCTTCCACAGGCTCACATTTTCTTCTTGATCCTCTAGTTTACCCAGTAGACCGTCTCACTAAGCCTCATGACATCCTCCCAGCCTTCCAGTCTTGGCCTCTATTTAAAGACAAGTTTATAACAAATGAGCCAAAAGATAGCTCTTTTTCCCTGCAGCCCATATCGTGCCTTGTTACTTGCTCATCATCCCCACCCCTCTTTGGCTTTTTTCCCCCCAACAGTGTATCACTGATGCACTGAGGGCCAGGGGCATAAACGTCTCCACCTCCCTGCCTGACGATGTGCTGGATTTTGTGAGGAGGCATCCTCTGATGTCCCAGCAGGTGCAGCCTTCAGACAGACGCCCCCTTTTGTTCAGGAGGACCACAGACTACACACAGATGGCTGTACACATGACCCAGGGATTAGATGGACAAACATACAATGTGTTATATATGGGAACAGGTGTGTATGAATTCGTATCAGGTATTAATAGTTCAATCTGTGTAATACTGTGTTTTGTTTTCTAACTAGCTACAACTAGCAGAAGGTTAGTTTAACATAAAGACTAGAAATAGAGGGCTTGGCTTATTTTAAAAGTAGCTAAATCTGCCAAAATGTGGTTTTATACGGGGTTACGTTCTGGACTACTGCCAAAATGACAACATTTACCAGAACCAGAAACTTTAAAAACAGAAATAATTGTTGCCTTCTTACCCCTTGTGTGATGTGCCATTCAGCCAGTCAGGAGGCTACTAAATATTTGTTTAGTCTAACCAGATTCTGTAAAAAACAAAATTAAAAATTGTGTGACACAACTGGGAAGCCACAACTGACTCAGTTCCAACCAACAGTTAAATGACAGAAATTCTGGGGCCCTGGGATGGTAAAATATGTATAGTATGTAAAGCCACTGTTTTTTTTGTTTGTTTGGTTTTTTTTTAGTGCTAATAACACCTGTAGGCACTTGAAAAAATGTCAACTTTCCCTTTCTTTCTTTCTGATTTATGGCATTCTAACCATTAACCTTACCATTTAACCTCACCAAAGACACATTTGAGTTCCCTCTAGCCATCTAGCCATGGTTGTCTTGTTTCCATAGAGGTCAGGACTTTATATTGCAGTGACAAATAAGCCCACAGTGAGTAAAAATGTGACAAGGTTCAAGAGGTTATTGGCTTTTACGTGCAAGGTTTGAACCTACAAGATAGTGATTGCAAACAAAACAATGACATAAGACATTTGTTGTTTTATTTTGTTCTTACTGTTTGTATAAGACTCCATATTTCCACATCAAACTTCATGAAACCACTGGCACTCTGCTTATGTTGTAACAGTGATAAGACTTAAAGCAAATAAGAGGTCATTTGCTAATTTTTGCAAGATTGCATACTGAAATGAATGATAATAAAAAGTTGCATAAAATGTAGGACATCAACCTGAAGTCTGTTACTGACGGACATGCATTACATTTAGCTTGCAGCACAGACTACTTCATGTTTGCATGGTCCTTTAGTTCAAACGTTTTTCCTTTTTCACATGTGTCACCCAGATGATGGCTGGTTGCACAAAGCCGTGGAAATCAAAGGTCAGCTGCACATTATTGAAGAGCTTCAACTGTTTGAAGATTCACAGCCTGTTAACAATCTCCTGATATCTGCAAAACAGGTAGCATGTCTCTCTCTGTCTCACACACACACACATTATGTGAATAGTCTCTCCTGCAGTGTTTAAATCTTTTCTCTCCCACCAGATGAGTGTGTACGCGGGGTCTCCATCAGGTGTGGCTCAGCTTCCGCTCTCTTACTGTCGCAGATATACTTCCTGCTATGACTGCATCTTTGCCAGAGACCCTCACTGTGCCTGGAACGGAGCAGAGTGTGTGGACGTAATGAAACAAGCAAACAGGTGAGTGTGTTTGTGCTTGGATCAGGTGATTAAAGTGCTGCAGGTGCCCTTTTGAGTGTTTGACTTCAGTAACCTCAAGGATCACCATGACACAGTGTCAGCTCTCAGAACCGTTGCATAACCACAATGCTGGCAGAACTTGACGCCGCCTGTGATAGTAAACATAACATGCAGATGTGTGCTGATTAATCTGGACAGATTTGCTTACTCAGTGGAAAGCAGTTATAGACGCAAAAATGATAGAAAAGATATGTATAGCTCAGAAAGAGCACAATAAAAACAGGAAAAAATAGACATTTCACTATAAATACAGGATATTTGTTGTTTGAGTGACAAAACAAATGTGTTTATTGTCGTGTTTTCTCCCTCTTTTCAGATCCACTTTAATCCAGGACATCCAGCATGGCAGCATAGGCTGTGAGAACACACAAGATGGTACGCAGAAATCTCATCTGCTGCTTAGAAAAACTTTGCTTTTAATGCATGAAAGGGAGATTAAAAATAGAGAACGTTAGCAAGGACTCAAAAGATGCATAGTTGTCATCAGACAGCATGAAGGCCTCTTTAAAAGTTGATTATGCGCACTGTGTTGGCAAAATCCTCTCCTCCCTTCTTTAATCACATTTTTGCCACCTCTGGAGAGAAATCTGTTTGATATTCAAGGCAGGCAAATGCCTTCTCTCACTTCTCAATTTCAATCTGATAAAATGTAGCATCGTCTGCCCCCTCGTTCTCTCTCTGTACGAGGTAATATGATGGCAGGAATTAAAGATTTGCAATCGGAGTTCATGCCTCAGTAACTCTGGACAGGCTTTGATAAATTTAATCGAAGGAATTAACATATATAATGTGTGAGAGGCTCAGTTGTAAGTTTTCTTGTGAAATCAGACTTTTCTCAGTGTGTTTTTCAACATGTGGGTTTGCTGGTGTTGCAGATGTTGTCCAGCGGAGCCGCTTGGTCCGTGTGGGTGATGATGTGCTGCTGCAGTGCGAGCTCAGCTCTAACTTGGCCACGCCGCTCTGGACTCTGGATGACGACGAGGTGCAAGGATACGACCTCAACTCCGGCTTCAGAACCGGCAACGACGGCCTGCTGATCATCGAAGCCCGGCAAGACCAGAGCGGTCTGTACACCTGCCACGCTGTCGAGAACAACATTATGGTGGCCATAGTCACCTACAACATAACCATCCGCCTGGACCTGCCCCCTCCCCCACCTGTTGAGCCAGCTCGTGACACCTACAGCCTCTTCGCCACCCTACCAGGACCCTCCGAGCTTCCTGCCTCCAAGAGGCCCCCCCTGGCTTCTCTCCTTCCCCGCTCAGACATACTTTCCCCCAAGAGCATGGAGGCCATGTACCTGTCCCTCATCACCATCCTCGGAGGCCTGTGTGTGGTCCTCACTGTGGTCCTCGTGTACGTGGGCTTCTGCTTGCGAGTCGGCAACAGAGGAAAGTACTCGTTACGTGCGGCGGCTGCAGCTTACCCGACCAGCAAGAGGCATAGCAAGGCCAGAAAACACCACAGAAACTCCTCCCAAATGGAGCTGAAGACAATCTCTAGTCACTGTAACGGCAACGGCATTTGTAATGGAGTTTCAAAGCTGCAAAACGGCAACATCCAAGATGGAGGCTTCCTGCAGATTGTCCCTGGTGGGGGTCAAACTTCACCCAACAAGGAGCCTCCTCCCCCAGCCCCACCTCTCCCTCCCACACCACAGCTTTCCTCTCCGGGGTGCGACTTCTCCAACGGGCTGTCAGCTACGCTGCCCAGCGTCCTGAGGAGGATGAACGGGAACAGTTATGTGCTGCTGAGGCAGAGTGACTCTGAAAACACGTCACCCCTCTGCCACTCCTTTGCAGAGGAGCTCAACAAGATGTTAGAGAAGAGGAAGCACACTCAGCTGCTGCCCAGGCCGGATGAGAGCTCCGTGTAGAGAGATGTAGCTCCCCCATGTAGTGGGCGGACTGCTGCTGTGTTCTTACTTGGTGCCTGTCACATGACTCAATATTGTTGTGGACTAAAGCAATAGAAGAGTCTTATCTAGATTATTTACTTTGGATTATTATTATTATTTTTTTTTTTGAACAAGTCCACATTGAGACATTCCTGCTTTTTGAACCATTGATCCTGAATTTCCAGACTGTTTCCCAACACTTAACAAATGAAAAATCCCAGTGAAGGGCCAAGCACAAACTAGGAAAAAGTGTAATCTACCTCACCTCGATACTGCCCACACGGACATGTGCAGTCAGACGATGGTCTGATCTGAGTATCAGGGCTGAAATCTCAGCCGCAGAAAGATCTCTGATCCAAAAAGAACAAAGCGGGATAGACAGACTCCAACAAGGAGAGGAGCCGCACAGGAATATAAATACATGTGAAGAGTCTATTCAGACTGGGATGCAGCTAGCCAAAGTTTGTTTGCACTGATAAGTGCACAGATGGCCTATGCATTTTTAAAACACGACATTCACTCATTATGAATATGGACGGAGATGGAGGGATGGGCAAGGGAATGTGTTTTGTTTTCTTAAACAAATAACTTTAAAAAATGACTTAACCAACAGAGAAGAAGTAACTCATGACTGCACATAACACTTTACACCAGCCATCAGTGAAAAAAGGTGAACTAATCATTATTTAATATTTAATTCTAATAAACTAAACCAAATATTTCTTAATTTATTACATTTTTCATTAATCATAATGTATCTTATGTAATTATTAGTTAATGATCATATTAAATATAATCATATATATGTGGTGCTAAAATGAGGGGGAAAAATTTGTTGGTATTTATTTAATATGCAGGTTAAAATATTTGCAAGCAGAAAAAGGAATTATTGTACTGTCATTAGAGCCATAATTAAAGTCACTGCTGAAGCTCTCAATCCATCATAAATTGTTAAATAATGCCTGATGTGTTGACCTTCATTATGATTTTCAACTCATGTCTACTAATTCCTACAGGTGACATAAATTTACATTATGAGGCTCTATTATGTATAAAATTCACAATATATATATAAAAATAAATAAGATAATACATTTATTAAACCTTTACATAATTGAAAGAGTATTAAATAATGATTATTTCACCAAGTATTGAATAGATGACCTACATCAGTATTGATTTTAATGCACTTTAAATACCAGTTTTAAAGAGCTTTGGGAAAGCTGATGGACGCTCTTACACCAGGAGAAGTTGTTGCCCTTTTCTCAGTTTGAGGAGCTGAAACTGTGGAGGCCACAGCTGTGTCTGCTGGACCTTGTTTAACACAATGGATGAGAAGAAGAAACACTGACTGTGTCTCAGCTGAGCCCGAATCCACCGCTGAGTGACGCCCTGCGTGACACCATAACACCGAATGACAGCCTGCGGGGCGCAGTGTGCGCCAGGAGCATCCAAGGTTAATAGTTTTTATATCTTAACAACACGCCTCCTGCACAGGCACTTTGCCAAACAAGCACTTAAAGATATGGATCATGGAGTTGGAGTCCATGCGCGACTACATACTTAGAAAACACTGAATTTATATTTACTAGCATGCTAACAGCTTGTTGATCTTGTGGCTGAGTTGTTTGTAATTTCTGGAAAAGTTGCGGATCTCTTTCCCAAATGGAAACATCAGTGACTCAGAGATCGACTGTCACCTCAGAGAAATTCACAGAATAACTCCTTAATGAGAGGAACGTAATGATGGAAGATATTAAAAGAAGCCAAGGCTAAAATGATAGAAATCACGTATTTGCATAAAAAAAATATTGATTCCAGTTATTTTCTGGCTGTGAATAAATCGACTAATTATTGCAGCCATGATAAGATTTAATTTACCTGCGTCACAGATTTATGCCTACATCGATTTATGTCATAAGTCTCACACTCAAACCATTTTATTTTCCTTATCAATCTGCTCTAGCTACATTTTACTGTTGTTCTTCCGTCAGAGCGCAGCATTAATTAAACACTCGTCTTATGACAGGACTGACCTCACTGGAGAAAGAGAGCGAGTTAGAAATCTCCCTAGAGATGTACACTCTCCAACACTCTCAAGCTACCAATTATTTTCTCATACCCTCGGGCTCAGGGTGTGGTTTTGTGTTTTATTACTGTAAATGTGAAAAACAATTCATGTGTACACCACTTCCTCTAAAACACGCGTATCACACTCATGCATTTCCACAGACCGTCCTGTGTAGACGCACATTTGATTGAATTGAACTCATCGAGGCTGTCAGGGTGAGAGATACTGCGGTTTGAAAGGCACCGCGATTGAAGATCCAAGCTTTGCAGTCAGTGACACTGATCAAAGACATAAAAGGGAGACGGCTGTAGCTGCACACTTCACACATTAAAAGCCTTCATTAAAGCCCTTTGACCTCCTTTCAAAGCACACCACAAGGTGAACACAGCGACAGGAGTTTCATTTGATTTGCAGTTTTTATTGCAAAAACACAGCCATGTTCAAGTCCAACCCAGGCCACATACAGTCAGGGCTGGTGCTGACTGTAAAGCTGTGACCGCGACACATTGCTGGCACTTATGCCTGAATATTTTTTTCTCTCTCTCTTATGTTTTCAGGTCTGATGAGCACAGGTCAGTCTGAATCCTTCTTAATTTCATTCCCGGGGACACCATCTTCTCTCCCGACCGGCGTCAGATGGCAAGACTGGCTGCGAAGATGTTCTTTTAATGAGCAGCGAAATAAAATCCACCATCGTTAGCGGACATCGGAGCCAGAAGCGAGGCTGCATAAGGGCTACGGCATGAGAGTCTCTGCACCACCAGCTCTGCTTCCCCACAACTGGAATGAAAATTGTCGGCTGCAGCATCTTACTGAGCAACGTTTGTTCTTCAGACAGCAGCTCTTTGTGTGCAGAGAGCGTCCTTGTCTCGGTTTGATGCAAACTTATTACACCAAACTCTACATATAATGATGTTTTTTTTTTTCTTTCTTTCTTTCTGCATGAATTGTTTCTCTGTAAGTCAAGGAATAGATAAGGATCTTAACCATGAAAAGTGCCATGGTTGATGTTTAAACAATGCTATGTGAGCCTATTTTATTGCAAAACCAGAAGGGAAGGATTTAAAAAGAAATGAGAGGCATATTTATTTTGCAATTTTGTACATTGTACATTTTGGAAATTGTCGTCAATGTTGCTGTTAAAATGCCACTTGTTGGACACCGCCCCCTGACAAATAGGAGGGGTCACAATTTGCCTGTGTTGCACAAAATGTGTTAAATAGAAGCACGGTAGCCGAATGCATGCAGAGGCTGCACCAGCACCACAGAAGTTAATGTTATAACCTACTAATGAAAGGAACAGTACAACAAATTACATATAACCCTCACCGTATTCTTAATGTCCACATTATAGTTTTGATCTCCGTTTGCATGTTACACCATAGTTGTGCACATAGCAAATTAATTTCTTTTATTAAACTAACAATGACTAATAAAGCAGTGGCTTCCTTCACATTTCAGTCAAGATGAATTCAAATAAAACTTTTTACTTCAACCTCTTCTTCTCCTCATCATTGCTTGTGTATATTTACGGTCTGCCGCTCACATTTTACAAAGCGAGGGAGATGAAACAAATCTTTTCCCTGTCAAAGCTTCGGAGCAGAGCCCTGGTATGTTACATGTCAGGGGAGTCGCAGCAAACCGTTGGAGCTGGTAAATATTGTCAGGAAAAAAAGGAGGTGTCTGCATTGTAACTGGAAGCAGGCCCGAGTTCCTGCAGCATGGCACCTACTGGTATGGAAAATTTTGCTGGGAGGTTGATGTCCCAGGACTGGTTGAGAGCCAACAGGACAGCGTTGTTGACAAAACCCAAACGTACAGCACGTGTCCTGTGAGGACATTAAAGGAGGAAATGTGACGACGTTTGATGCAGCAGTTCAATCTGCGCCTGTAGAACTTACCTTTTAGAAATGCCACAGGTAATAAATTCCACCCACAGATTTTTCCATCATCCTTGTGACCTTTTCTCATGTTCCTGGGTGAGGAGGCAACACCCAGCTTCCAGACAATAAGTCAGTTGTAATATATTACCAGCAGCACGACAAAACACCCATAAATAGGACTGCCGTTTCATGCACGCAGGGCGATTTGTAAGACTGCCAGGTACCTGCAGTGTGTACAGCTTGACATGTGATTAACAAACTGTCACGGTTGGCATGTTATTTTTGTAATGCTGCCTCGCTTTAATCCAAGTCAACAGGAAAGGCTTGTTCTGCATTTGAGTGGCAGATTGGAGTGTTTTCATTAAATAAAAAGCAGTGGCTCAGGTGAGATTTGTGTTGTGACACTAAAAACTGTGTTATTTTACATGAGAACTGAGTTGACAGTGTGGGGTTTAGCGCAGCTTTTGTTGCTGACTGAATGCACACAGGAAAGAAGAGGTGGATCTTCTGGAGCAGCGGTCTCCAACCTGTGGGTCAGGACTCCCATAAGGGGTCATGAGATAAATCTGAGGGGACATGGGATGACTACAAGAGAGGGAAGCAGAAGAGATACACTTCTGCATACAAAAATATATCAAGTTAGTCATAGTTTGCGCTAATGTTTGCTTTTTAGCTTTAAGTATGGGCTTTGGTCAACTATGGTGGTGCAAATGTTTCAACAAAACTTAATTGATTAGAATAAAATTTTGAGCAAACATTCAAGTTTTCAATAGAATTCATTGTAAAATAAATTTTAGCACCATGAGATACAAGTTTGTTTGAAAGGAGGTGACGGAGGTGAAATAAAAGTCAAATAAAGCTTCAATTCAATCACTCTTTATTGTCATTATACGAGCACACAATGAAATATCGTCTTGTCATTTCAAGAAGCCACAGCAATCGAAAAATGATTCAAATGACACAATAGAAGTGAACATTACTGTACAGACAGTGACTGAAGTACAGTACGTTAGAGCTGAGCTGTTTTCTTGTTGTTCCGACACACTGACTGATTTATCTGCCTACATCACATATAAAATAACCTGTCAGGTAACTTAATCTGAGATTAAAACATCAATTCTATTCCTGGACTGGATTTACACCTCAGAGGAAATGATTTCAACAGATCTTTTTCTTTTTTTTCTTCCTTTCTTGCGAATCCAAGCTGTATAGATAAATATCACCCAAGGAGAGACAGATGAAAGAGCTTTCAGTGACAGATGAGGATAAAAAATAGGTTTTACTTGCATACATCAATCATGTATCAAGGTAACCTTCAGTGCAGAAAGTGTAGGGAGGTGTAGGGATCATATCGGTGTGGCTGATAATTCCCACTCATCTTGTCGCTCTATTATCTCCGTTCCACTATTTATTCGACGTTCTGAATTCTCATTTGGACACGAACAGCAGAGCTTTTGTATTTGTCAGAGAGGGTTTGATTGGCAAGAACGGAAAGACACACCCGAAGATATGTGTGCGTATTAAAGCACCCGGAAAGGACACATAGCATTTACATGACTATCAGCTTGTTATTGTGCAAGCTGCTGAATAAACTCACTGTTTTGCAATGACGATACCAAAGAAATAACAAATACTGAGCTTACTTCTCTTTTATCTGAGTCATAAAGGTTCCCTTTTAACCTTTTCTCTTCCGCTCACCAGTGCCCCTAGTTCCTGCATTTGTTGCCTGAATCTTTGCTGCCCATGTGATATTGAAAATGTCACACAGACGTTATGTTATTAGACTTTAGACAGTCAGGATGCAGTAAGAGGATCTGGATCCTCAGTGAAGCCCAGTAAAGCTAATGCCGCTGGAGAAAACATGACACACTGTCATCTTTAAGTCCTTCACTGTGGTCTCACATCCCAATAAAACCAAGCGAAAACCCAAAGTTGACTCCCATTCTGTGGATGTAATGAAACCACTCATGACACTCGGACTGTTGTTTCTCTGTCCTGCCACTGTATAGTCAACAACAATCCACGTAAACATCCTCATAATAGTGTTTCCACTCTGAAGAGGTTTAGTGGATGTCACCACTGTAGAAGGCCTGTTTATTGAACTGACAAAGGCAAGTGTGTCACGCTACACTTTTCTTCCCCAAAACAAACAGATACTGTTTCTGCTGCACGCCAACAAGCAGCTCCTCTGCCTCCTCCCAGACCGGTTTGACGCCAGAAAAGCCACGCGTCTCTGTTGTCACTCACTCGACACTCATATGTCAATCCGCCCTTTATTTGCTTCCTCTGCTCGGCCCAACTGGCTCACTGTCTGCTTGTGACAGTGTCTTCAGACGGAGGAAGACACATGCCTGTCAAACTCAAACAGGTTGGCGTCTGCGCCTCTACCACATAAACAAGTGGAAAATTTTTAACTTTTGCTCTGGAAAAACTGAGTTGATTACAGGAGATTAAAGTGTTTTCTGAATGACCAAACTGGCATTTAGAGCTCACTGGCTAAATTGTAATGCGAGCTGGGGTGGATGAACCACTTGTGGCTTTTGTTGCTGTTAGACAGGAGTCCATTTTCAGATTTTTATTGACAGAAGCCAACAAAATCAGTGCAAAGGAAGCTCTTTCAAAACAACAGTGTCAAAAGATGCCCTGTGATTTTTTTTCCCTCTGCTCACACAGTAGGAGTGAAGGAAGTAATAAGAGAAAGAAATTCGAGTTGTTGTCACCAGAGACGACTCAGACACACCCGAGTGATTGTGTCCTAGTGAGACGTCACCTAGACGATCAGCCTGACAAACACTCACACACCACACTCGCGCACACACACACACACCTGAGTGTTGCAATTCCCTCTGAATTCACACTTTCGCTTCAGATTGGTGTTTCGATTGCAGCTCATTTGAGTTTCGCTTGAAACCTTGTGAGCAACGCCACCAGAACTGCCTTTTAGATGAGAAATTGTTTCTCTCCTTCTCATTATTTAACCGACAAAGATAAAGAGACTAAAGAGGAGTCACATAGACCAGCAGCTCATGAGACACATAACCCGGAGAAGCAGAGACAACATGTCTAATCTTTGACCTTTGGACTTTTGAAATATTGACAGAGGGTAAACCAGCTCGGCCTACACCAGTCGCTTGTCTTTGATGTTTAAAACTGCACCAACAAAGCAAAGTATTGGTTTTAAACTGGACCTACGTGTTACAGCTCATTATGTGTGTTTCAGTAATTAGTGTGCTCTGCTGTGCGTTTTTGAGTATGTGTGTGTGGCTCAGGGCTGTGAACTAACTGAGCCTTTGGACTGTGAAGTTGCTTTTGCTGTTCATTCTCTCTCATGTGGCGCCACCTAGTGATTTTCTTTTTTCGGTAACATCAAATGCACCATGTGCTGTTTACCACTGGGGGTCACAAACAGTCTGCTTGTAGAAAATCCTCATCTCATGATGTGTTCAGCTTCTGCCTGTGCAAACTCTCAAAGTCACCAGCAAACACACTGAACTATGTGTGAACAGTTGAGCTTTCGTTTCATTCAGCACATCTATCCACCTGCCTTTACAAATTTAATTATACTTTACTGTTTCCAGAATACAAAGCACATCTTTGTCTCAAATACAACATCCGTGGAGATACTAGGAAAGAAGAAAACAACCAAAGATGTGAATAATCCATCTGTGTGGGATATAGAACATGTGAATTTAGTATTAGCTGTGTGCTTGTTTAGTCCAGTGGCCTGTAAAGCTTAATGCAGGATGAACTGTGCACAGACTGCAGCAAAAACAGCCTCAGTGAGTGATGAAAGTCTTTGTTTTGACTTGAATAGAGAACAAAATGTTTTGCGGACTATTCAGAGTGTGGCAGATAAGTCTGAACCGACTTCCTTTGATTGTTCGATTCTCTTGTTGTGCTGCCCCGTGAGGCAAACACGGCTCCGTCTTGACAGAGTAAAAACGAGGCTGGAGGTTGGCACAGCAAAGTGGGAGACTGACCTTGACCCAGAAAACCTGGCATCAATCTTTCGTGTCAGCAAGCATCCAACCTGATGAATGTGTCGCTGAACAAGAGTGAGGCTGAACTGCTGCCAGCTCCAGAGGCGCTGTTCCATAGCTGACCATGACCTCCGACTTTCCTGTGCAAAAACAAAACTCCCCATAGGGAATCCAAACATTAAACACCACATCAACATCACACACATCACTGTCCCCGTTATGTATCGCTAAAAGCTTTTACGAAGTGTTAGATTTGGGATTAAAAGTATTTTATTCACACACCAAGCGCAGAAGTCCCTTGATGTACAATATGGTGTCGTGTAAGCCAGCAGCTTAAATATAAATAAGGAGAATAAAATGACTGCCAAAATATTGCATTCTATTCAACAATTCAGGCTTTTTTTTCTTCTCCTTTTGTTAAGCAAAAGGATGCAGGATAACAGCGGTGCAAGAAATACTCCAATTCTTTTTATAGTAGCCTATTTATAGACATACTCTACAAGCAAAAGTCCTGCATTTAATAATGTTCCTAAAAACTTCCTAATACTCCTAAAAAGCCATCTTACAAATTACATGTGCAGATTTTATTCCATGAAAATATTTCCCCCCTACTTTAAACTGGCTCAGATGTT